TCTGTCTTCTCTTCCTTATCAAACAATTTCTCACTTTTATCATTCAGAGTGACCCCTAACATTCGTCTTATTATATTTCTACAGCATTAATTTTACGCTCACGCTTCATCTGCCACACAACATTTACTACTACTCGTATTGAATAAGGTAGGGACTACTAGAAACAGTATTGTAGTTTTGCTATATTTACCTTTTGACACATTCTGACTTCCCATAATAGACTCAAGAGATCCATTCACTCTGTGTCCGGCACTCACTATTCGTCTTCGTATCCTTGTTACTTAAGACTTATCAATGTAAGCTTATCTGACTCGCACTGACTGACTGTTCTAATGAGTTTTCAGAGCATTTTGATGTCCGACTGGAATCAGAGGATCTTCTATTGTTCTTTTCGTTCTTTCTGGTCCTTTTATTTCTACTACCTAATCTATTAATCTCTTATATAGGGCAAGGTCTGGTAAAGTGGCCACCTTAAAGCTTGAATGACTGCCTTTTGGAAAAATATCAAAATTTTTTACGTTACTTTATTACTTTATACTCTTAAACTAATGTAGTTTTGACATCACATTCTAGTTTTGACTTATATCAAGATATTTTATAGTATTTTTAAGTTTAAAGCGGAAATGGGGAATTGACCACTTTACCTACCCAGGATGTGTAAAGTGGCCTACATAAACCCACAAAGCGGGTGAAGTGGCATAGTATCAATAAAATGCAATTATTCTTAGAATAAAAGTTTTATTTAATACTTGTTCACAGGCCCCATGAGAGACATTCAGTGGTTGAAGTTTGTGACTGCAGTGTGGGGGCAAACGTAACACGGTCGTGTGTTGTTTTCTTGCCAACTCAATAAAATCCAAATTTTTTGTATGTGCGTTATGTCCGTCTAGAATCAGGAGAGCTGAATCTTCTTCAGTCGGCTTGGCGAATTTCAGAAAATGCTTAAACCAATCCGTAAAAATGTCCAATTGCATCCACCCCGACGAATGACAAGCAAATCCTGTACCCGGCGGTGTACAATCTTGTAGTTCCACCTTCATTCTCTTTTGAGGAAAAATAATAAAAGAGGGAATATAATTTCCACCAGCAGCCATACAACGACGGTGCTCAATACACCTCGCTCTGCTAAGGTGATAGCACCCACCTGCTTCTTTCTCTTTTGTGCAAGTATTTTAGAGCTTTTGCTCTGCACCTTGGTAAAGCCAGACTCAAAAGTACGATGAGGTGGATAGTTTTACTTTTCCAGCCATTTGAGTCTTTATTAAAATTGTGTTTTATATTCAGCCAGCTGATAGGCAAGTCACCTTACATCCTGCAAAGTTAATCCATAAAATCGCTTTTCCATTTCTAAAATGTGTTGCACCAATTCTTCTTCATGCTCTGGACTAAAGGCTAGACCCCAATACTTTTATATTTTCAACCGCTTCTTTGTTTATTCCTTTTACACGTTGTTTGAGCGTCGATCGAGGAACTTTGAATTCTTTGCTAGTCTTAAGGAAGCCCATTTATTCGTTTCTTACAACCTTTATAGCTTTTTCCATCGCAACCGGGTCCCATGTCTGCTGCTGCGACGTCCGTTTATATGTATTTGGCATATCTAAAACAATACAAAATATTATTTATATTCACAGGAAAATTTAGTACTAAGACGGGTAAAGTGACCTACTATGTCACTTTACCTACCTACAGACTAGGCCATTTTACTCGAAACGAAGCACGACGATAAAAAAAGTTACTCAAATAGCAAATGAGGTTATATTGTCATCCTATATCGTGCAATAAACAGTTCATTAGAGGGATTAACTGATAAAATATACTACATTGTGGTTTATTTATATTGAACAGAGTAAATTATTACAATGTTTAAACCACTTACCTTAGATCAGAGACCACAAAAACCACCATTTTTGTCATAAAATCTGTCCGCGTGAACTAAGCGCGTTGGTGTTTACTGGAGCAATACGGCGTCGGTCAATGAATAATTTCCATAAACAAACAAATGGCGCTACTTGGTTGGTTTTTAAAAAGAAGGTGGCCACTTTACCCGCCTGGGCCACTTTAACGAACCTTCTCCTACACGTCTAAACACTGCCTCTTTTTTAACCTCTTCATCCATACAACTAGAATTTCTAGCTTTATCCGCTAGTACATATAACCACGCTCTCTTCAATTGTTCTTTAAAATATGGCGTGTTTTAGTGGCGTAAGAGAATACATAACCCCATCTCGTCCTGAGTGTCATAAGAGACTTATTATGTTATTGCCGACAAATAACTCTTTAGATTAGAGCATAAACTGTATGTCCTGTGGTTTCTTCCAACCATAAATGCAATAAATGTCTTAGTTATTGCGGTTTTCATTAGTAAAATATTTTAATCAGACACAATGCGGCAGTACTTGATTGCAAGAATATTATAAATTTATATGAAAAATGATTGAAACAAAACATAACGTATTACGATACGCGCCACTATTAATGTCTTGTATATGGCAACACTAGTTACACTAGCGCCCCCTAGTGTCGAGTAGCAGAACTAGGAGAGTCAAGATCCTTCCAGAAACTTCAGGACCGATATGTACTCGAACATTCTAGATGTCGCTACAGTAGAAGGTTCTGGAAACTATCTGAGGCCCTATATAAGGCCGGTATAGACCACGACCGGGCAGTATTGAATTGGCGATACAAAAGAATACTTCGAAGCGAAACAACTGCGAACTTAAGTGATCAGTAGAATTATTGTGTTTTATTATTAGTGTGTTTTAAGGTGTAATTAGTATCCGTAATTAAAGTGTCAATTTTGATAATTCATTCGGCAGTTTTTAATTGTGTCGAACCTCAAGCTCGTAACAATTGGTGTCAGAAGTGGGATTAAATCATGCCGATTTTACCAAAGGACGACATGGAGGGTATCCGTACCCGAAGTCAACGCCAGCTGGAGACGGACCACAGACGATTTGGTAATACAATGCCGCAAACATCGGAGGGCCAGCTGCTGACCACGGAGGCCGGTCGGTCATCAGCTCCTGCATCTACAGCACCTGAATTAGGTGCTCTGATGATGATGCTGCAGGAACAGGCTCGCCGACAGGAGGAACATGCCCGTCGGTTGGAAGAGCAGCTCAAACGCAATAAGGAAGAGCAGATACTTCTCATTAAGGACCTTCACGCTACCTTCGGGAAAGAGATAAGGGAGATGAAGGATAAGGTTGCTCAATATGACAACCGCCTGTTGGAAGCTGAAACCCGAATCTACCAAGTGTACAATCGGGTTGACAACGTGATGGCTGACGTACAGAAAACGCTGGACGACCTCAAACTTGGGGATGGAGTTACAGCTCCCGTGGTAGCACCTAACACCTTTGCTACGTGGATTCAAAGTGCCGCCGTTCGACGGGACTTCTTCCTGGTCGGCCTACAAAATCCAATTCGAGGCTGTCATGAAGGCGAACGGCTGGAATAAAAGTCAGGCCATGACTGCTCTCACCCTAGGCCTGCCCAACCAGGCCTTAACTGTTCTGGAAGCTCTCGGTAAGGAAGTGACTTACGAGCAGCTCCTTGAGGCATTGGAGGCGAGATATGGCGATGCTCACCTGGAACACGTCTTTCGTGCGCAGCTCAAAGATCGCGTGCAACGCAGTAATTAAAACCTGCAGCAATGGGCCCTTGAGGTAGAGAAGCTGGTCCGAAAAGCATACCAGTCTGTACCTGCGTTCATTGCAGGGAACCTGGTGCAGACATTCATCGACGGCATCCGCAACCTTGAAGTCAGAGCTGCTGTGAGGCTCGGGCACCACGAGACGCTTATGGACGCCTTGACGCATGCACTGGCGGTGGAAGCCGTGCGGCAGGATCATCGTTCCCATCGCGTCAGGGAGGTTGCAGCAGCTACAGTTCGGGACCGCAATAACGGCTACAGCCCTAGGTGCTACAGTTGTGGGGAAAGGGGCCATCTTCGATCCAGCTGCCCTAAGCGAACTGTAGAAAGGAAAGGTGATCGATCTCGAGAGGGTAGTGCGGCTAATAGCACCGCCCAGCAGCAGCAGGGAAACGAGAAAAGCCAGGACTGCGGGGCGCGTGCTGGCTGATGTTAAAAGAGCCCCAAGGATTTCGATCTCACAAACCCATGATGGGAACAGCCTAATCATCAAGGGCGAGGTCAACGAAACGCCGTGTAAACTGACCATACACACTGGAACCTCTCGCACGGTTATCAATTCCCAACTTATAAATCAGTTCCTTGGGGACTCCGCATACAACCGAGAACGCATTAATTTGGCGACAGCCACCGGTCAGCGCATACCCATCCGTGGAGGGAAGGAGATGGAGTTGAAGCTAGGAAACATGATCTACATGCATAATGTCATCGTGGCTGATATAATGGACGACTGCATCCTGGGCTTTATGAGGAAGAATTGTTGTGAGATCAACGTTATGCAAGGTGTTTTGAAATATGGACAAAAGGAACTTTTCGTGGAAGGGGCGATACCAGGGAATGTGTACAGCCTTAAGAAGATTGTTCTTCCGCCGAGATCAGAAAAGATTGTGCCGGTTAGACTTCCTCGGAATCCTGGGCAAACTCTTCGTTGTGTACTCGTGGAAAGGGTAGACAATGACCTTCCATGGAAAGTGGCTCGAACCTTGGTTAGAACCGCCAACATCTCAGGAGTACGTGTGCTGAACCTTTGTGATCAGGAACAGATTATAGAAAAAGGCACATTGGTTGGTACTAGTGAGGAAGTGGATTGGTTGCGTCGGTGCCAATATCTATCGACTGGGACCCCTAGCAAGGATGGACAAACGACTGTCGCAGCGTTCTCTCCCTGAATGAAATGGTCAAGGCGAAGAAGTTGTTACTCAAGTACGCCGGTGTTTTCTCGTCAAACGAAGCTGACATAGGAAAGACTGGCTTAGTTCAACACAAAATAAGCACAGGAGAAGAATTGCCTATTCGTCAGCGGCCAAGAAGATTCCCTGTAGCACGTGAAAAGGAAGTAGAAACCATGATTGAGGGAATGGTGAAGGATGATGTTATTGAAACTTCATCTAGTCCATGGTGTTCACCTGTGGTGCTGGTAAAGAAGAAGGACGGCAGCTTGCGGTTTTGTGTTGACTACCGCCGCCTGAACGACGTTACAAAGAAGGACAGCTATCCCTTGCCAAGAATTGATGATACGCTTGACATGCTTACAGGCGTAAAGTGGTTTAGTACGCTGGACCTGAAAAGTGGCTACTGGCAGAATTGAAATTGACCCTAAGGACAAGGAGAAAACTGCATTCTCCACAGGAAAGGGTCTGTGGCAATTTGAAGTCATGCCGTTTGGATTGTGCAATGCTCCAGCAACGTTTGAAAGGTTGATGGAGCTTGTACTTACCGGGTTAATTGGAGATGGCTGTCTGGTCTACTTGGATGACATCATCATCGTAGGACGTACGTTTTAGGAACACCTTCAAAACCTGCTCATGAAGATCCAGAGTGCCTACCTCAAGTTAAGTCTGAAGAAGTGCTCACTATTCAAACAGCAAGTTAGCTTTTTGGGGTATGTAGTGTCGGAAGAAGGTATCCGCATGGATCCAGAGAAAATTGCCGCTGTCAAGGATTGGTCGGTTCCAAAAGGCAAGACACAGGTTAGAGCATTTTTGGGTTTGTGCTCTTATTATTGGTGATTTGTGAAGAACTTTGCAGATATAGTCAAACCTCTGCACAGACTAACCGAGGAGAAGCGACATTTCTGCTGGGATGAAAGTTGCAATATTGCATTCTAGGAGCTCAAAAACCGTCTGTGCAAGTAACCTATTTTGGGGTACCCTGATGCGGGCAAGGAATTCATAGTTGACACAGACGCAAGTGATATAGGACTTGTCGGTGTGTTGTCTCAACGTAATGGTGATCAAGAGATTGTGATAGCGTACTTCAGCAAGTCGTTGTCAAAGCCGGAAAGGAACTATTGTGTCACAAGACGGGAATTGCTTGCTGTGGTAAAGTCCTTGCAGCATTTTAGAAAATATCTCCTGGGGCGGAAATTCTACTTACGAACCGACCATGCTACACTGAAATGGCTATTGCAGTTCAAAAATCCGGAAGGACAAGTTGCGAGATGGATTGAACTACTGCAGGAATACGACTTTGTGATCAAACATCGCAGCGGGAAATCTCACGGCAATGCAGATGCATTGTCAAGAAGACCTTGCCCTGAAGATTGCAAGCATTGTACTAGGCAAGAGGGTAAGGAAGTGGTATCTGTGAGGATGATCAGGACAGACCAGCTCAGCAATGAGTGGAAGGACAGCCTACAACATGCATAGCAGGAAGATTCGGACACTAAGCCGATTCTGGAATGGATGAAGGCCAGTGCTCCTAAGCCCAAGTGGAGCGACGTCTCAGCAATGAGTTCGACCACGAAAAGCAATTAGGCCCAATGGGACAGCTTGCTGATTCAGGATGGAGTCCTGTGCCGTAAATGGGAAAATGGTCGGGGAGGTAGATGTCATTTGCAAATGGTTGTCCCTAAGGCTAAAGTACCGGATGTTCTACAGCTGTACCATAGTGGTTGTTGAGGAGGCCACCTGGGAGTTAAACGAACTCTACTGAAGATCCGAGAACGGTTTTACTGGGTCCACTGTCGTGACGATTTCGAGGACTGGTGCCGCCAATGTACAAGTTGTGCGGCTGTAAAGGGATCTCAAACTCGTAGTAAAGGCGCATTGAAATTGGACAATGTTGGTGCACCATGGGAGAGGATAGCCATTGACGTTGCGGGGCCGTTTCCGGAAAGTGAAAGTGGTAACAAGTATTTCATGGTTGTGATGGATTACTGCACTAAGTGGCCAGAAGTCTTCGTCATTCCAAATCAAGAAGCTTCAACAGTTGCAGATAAACTAGTTCATGAAGTTTTCTGTCGTTTTGGAGTACCCTTAGAGATTCACAATGATCGAGGAAGGAATTTTGAGTCTCAAATATTCCAGGAAACTTGCAAAGTTATGGGTACTCATAAAACACGAACAACTTCTTACCACCTACAATCTAATGGAATGGTAGAACTATTTAATTAGACATTGGAAAGGTACTTGGCAAAAGTTGTGGAAAAACAGCAACGAGACTGAGACAGGCACATATAACCGTTTTTGTTGTCATATCGAAGCGCTGTTCACGAAAGTACATCAGTGACACCAGCTTTTGCAAACTTTGGGAGAGAACTACGGCTGCCTGCAGACTTGATCACCGGAATACCACCTGATGCCCCACGCAGTATAACCGATTATGCAAATGACTTGCGAAACAAAATGAATGAAATTTATGAGCACGTCAGACAGACGGGCCAGCAAACGTCTGAGAAGATGAAAACACGGTATGACCGCTAAATGAACAACAAGGGGTTTGACGAAGGTTCACTAGCGTGGTTACACAATCCAGTTCGCAGCAAAGAGAAATCTCCTAAGCTTCAAGCTAAATGGGACAGACCGTACCGGATTGTGACAAGGATCAATGACGTAACCTACCGGACACAGAAAGGTGCCAGAGGTACTCCTAAGATCGTCCATGTGGATCGACTGGCGCGTTATTATGGGGCCAATAATGCTCGGGACGAGCATGTCTTAGGAGGGTGCAGTGTTGCGCGCCACTATTAATGTCTTGTACATGGCAACACTATATACACTAGCGCCCTCTAGTGTCAAGTAGCAGAACTAGGAGAGTCAATATCCTTCCAGAAACTTCGGGACCGATATGTACTCGAACATTCTAGATGTCTCTACAGTAGAAGGTTCTGTAAACTATCTGAGACCCTATATAAGGCCGGTGTAGACCACGACGGAAAAGAATACTTCGAAGCGAAACAACTGCGAACTTAAGTGATCAGTAGAATTATTGTGTTTTATTATTAGTGTGTTTTAAGGTGTAATTAGTATCCGTAATTAAAGTGTCAATTTTGGTAATTCAATCGGCAGGTTTTAATTGTGTCGAACCTCAAGCTCGTAACAATATGAAAATATTGATTTGTAAAAGAAACTGTTGAGAAAAATGTTACAAAAACATCACTTTACTCCCTAAAAATAAAAAATAAATCTTTTCAGACCACTTGAAGTGTTATATTTTACTCGAATCATATAATCACAGCTTCAGGAAAGTTGTTATAATCGTTGTCGGTAGAAAATGCTTCCTTGTCGTTCTGGTATTTTTCTCTAATTTGTGTGTAGCGCAACTTCGTTTTTCATATTGCATACACTGTTCACAACTTTCTTGAGACCATTCATTACGAGAATTATGTAGAGCACACTACTCGCATTCCTCATAACCGATATGACCAAAGGAAACGTTTATTTCGTTTACAACCTTGCGATATGTTTCGAGAGATATCTGCTTATTAGTATATATCTCTATAAAATATTGATGGACCATCGTAATATTTAAGTCACCGGGTAAATAAAACTAATTGAGGGCATGTTGATTGATACTGTTGGATTTAAACTTTGAATATGTCCTTTTATTATGTTTTTGTCTAAGTTAATAATGAAATCTCCCTCGCACTTTTTCTTATCTTGCCATGAAAGATTTTTTTTAAATGACTGTTCATTTTAATAGACGCTAGTAATTCATTTATTTGTATTTGTTAATCAATTATATAATACCTACGTTTATCAATTATAATATACTACGAAAGGAACTTCCTTCCAACCGAATGTTCCACGACACTTTCGCATGTTTTTTGTTCGTGTTTTGCGGTATGTAGCTTTTATAAATGGACTCCCAACTTAAATTTACGTACTGATCATGGATACCTGTTCAAATTTCTTCTGTAAACTTGTCATACACTTTTTTCTACGTTTATCATTACATGGTGGTTTTAATGCTAACTTTGCATCAGCGCTTTTTTCTTCAGTTTGGTACATTCTCGCATTTGGTAAGTTCTTTAACGCTATCGTCGGAGTCCTCAACATGTTAACTTTATTATTGTCACAATCATCTTTGTCGGACAGTGGCCTTCCATTGTTCGACAAAGATGATTTGATTGTCATGGAGGGATGAATGAAGGAAGGAGTAACAGACTGTTTCTTTTTGTTGAGTTTTACAAACATGAATATTAAGATCAATATTTCGAACAATATTAAAGTAACCAGATTAGAACGACTTTAAAAACTGTTTTAAAATCGCTGTAATCTGGAGGATGCGACTAGAATTGATTTAAATCTACAGAAATTGATTCTTTTGAATAGCAGGCAGCGTCACTATATCAGCGTCAGAATCTTGAATTGAGATTGAAGATTTAACTGGTGATGAATGAAATGGTATCGTTCGATGGGATATCGCTCGCTTGGTGCGCCGCGACGAACCTTTTACGTGCGAAGCAATATCACTTCTCCTCAAATCACACCCCTCGCGCTCTTTACTACTCATAACCGCAATAACTCGAAGACAATTTGCCATTTAGTACGTATGGCTATTCAAATCTTTTCTGTTTTTCCTTCAAATAATTGACAGGATTCAATAAACTTTACTTTCTATTATTAGATTTTATTAGTTTATTAAATAAAAATATTAATTAAATAAGATTCCTTAACATATCTGCAATAACCGTTATTTGTTATGCTAATGATTAGTAAATTAAAAAAATTAATTAAAAAAAAAAACGCGCTAATCATAAGTACATTAACTGGACTTATTGCGGTAATCTAAAATAATATTACAAAATATAATAGCTAACCATACCATAACTCAAGTTGTTTCGTTAATGATATGCAACATATATATAGTAAAATTAAATATTACAGTTATACTTATCAAAAGAACCGAATCTACTGTAAATACAGAAAAGACGTCTAAGGAGAAAATGTAGAGCTCATTTTTCTGATTACGGATATGTACTAAAGCCAGTAATCCTAAAAACCCGAGTTATTGCACTTATCGTAAGGACGGCAGTGCAGTAGAGCCAAAGTAACTGACACAGCTCAACATATCTAAGCTGAAGTGGCAACGGGTGGACCATATAACTCATAGAATCGAAAACCGACGATGGAAAAGAAAGGTTCTCGAGAGGCAACGTCGAATCCGTAACTGAAGTTTAGGGGGCCGATACCAGATGAAGTGACCACCTGGTAAGAGATGCCATAAGTTGATGAATGCAGACGGCTCAGAACGGCGTTTGTGGCATTCTTTGGGCCTGTAATGATGATCATGATGATGTGCCGCTAAGTCATGAAAACGAAATTTTCTTTGTTCTTATCTCTTGGTTATATGACCCATGTAATA